ACCAAGGTCCTGGACGTGGGGCTGGCTGGTCTTCAGTCTGCTGATGACAGAGTTGTGTCTGCCTTTCATGACACTTGCATTATCTGAGTTAAAGGCTATCAGGTTCTCCCAGGGAATGCCTCTTTTTCTATTGAAAACAGGGAAAATACAATTAAATGTCTCAGACAAAACCTAAGATTATAATTAAATGCAAACGGATTACACATATCAACAACACTGTGCAGTTCTCCTACCTTAGCGCTTCACTCAGTTTTTCATACAGATTTTCTGCATTTCCTACATTGCATACAGGCATCTCCATGAATCTTGTAGCGACCTGCAGAGTGGCTTCATCATAGAGTCTGGCCAGGATGACGAATTGTTTGTCTGTTTTTCTGTTGTTYGATTCGTCGCACATAAGTGAAAATGGTTGAGATCGACATGTTTTGGCCAACTCGTCATCTAGCTCTGCTGCTATGGCACCTGTTGAGTGAGTGCACAGTAATTAGCTAACACAATTACCCTACATTGTATAAGGAACATTATCAAATAGGCATGCACAATATACCTAATTTAATGCAGCTTACCTTTGATGAGTTGTGTAGCCTTGGTTTTCCCCGCTGAGTATTTTCGTGCAATTGCAGAGTCTGGGAACATCTCAGCTACACATTTGTTGAAATCATCACAGAAGGTAAAAGCAACGTTGTTTTTCGCACACAGCATTGCCATTTTAACCTCCGCATTTATGACCTGGTCTGCCTCTGTGGCATTTCTAGTCACAAAAGGGGACATCGCCTGGGCATGTYTTTGTGCCTCTAGCCCGCGTTTGTGCTTGACGGAYTTTTCATGCTGACGGACATCGTTCCTTCCCCCATGAGAGACACTAAAGTCGCAGTTACAAATCTTACAAAACGCGTAATTGTGCCCCACCCTACTCTTCTTTAGGAAAGTAAATTCGCTGTCCCATTTTTCAAGATATTTACACGAAGTCTTAACCTTTTTGGCAGGAACGCCTTCTCTCTCTTTAACTTCATCCATCTCTGATTTGTTTTTCCGGGTTTGTTCCCGCTGCCAACACTAATATCGCGAGAACTGCCACCCAGGCTACTGCAGGCGGCAGTTCTCGCGAGGCTAGTGACATAGTTCAGAGGCACTGGAATGTTTTTTATTAAATAATATTATAATACGGGAAATTTCCGGGAAAATAATAATTCGGGATGACGACGGGAAAGAGGGGGAAAATCCGGTAGTTTCCCGGCCAAAACGGGAGACTTGACAGGTATGACTAAAACTTCCAGGTATCTCTAGTCATACACGGACAGAGTGCTGTTCTTTTTTGATAATGTCTTCCCAGTTTTTGAGACCTTTGGTGGAAGTTCTTCATAATCTTTGTGAATAATGATATGCCTCATCAGGGAGTTGCTATCACAGAACAGACACCCACACTCCCTGCAAAGGCCATTGAAACATTCCCATTCTTCATCTGATTATGCTTGTCTAAATGATACATCATACGTCTATGGAAATGCCCTTTTTCCTTGGAATTAATATTGCATCTTGTGCATAAAAAGAAAGGTAGATCTCACTCAAGTTGCTCTCTCTTCAACTGCTCCACTTTTGGACCACCATTGTTTTCATTTTCAGGGTCATTTCCCTCATTACAGTTTTGCAGTGCTGTGCTATAAATACAGCGCTCAGAGTCTAAAACTATGTTCCTGAAGAGGCTTTTCAATGCCATTTTCCCATATTTAATATTAGATAGTAAAAGTTCATCTTTGTTGCTCATGTCAACATTTTCAACATTATTACGGCTGCCAGTATTACCAGAGCTGTTGTTAACCTTTTTTTTATTGGACAACCTGAAATGCTTTTTAAAGGGCCTCCTTTCTCTTCGGTGCATCACTCTGGTCTCCAGCCTTCAGCCGTTGTGCAAAAAGCACTTTCTTGTTGAATCCCATCTGATTACTTGAAACATTATCATAAACACAACTGTGCTTCCCGACCGCTCTACGTCCCACGGAGATCTTGTTTTCATTGTCTGTTTTGTCAAAGGTTGGCTAATGTGCATTTGCTTCGTACTGTCACCTGACAGTGCAGAACAAGCCGGTTTGGACTCGTTCTGTACTGGGTGAGACAGTGGCGTGTTGACACCTGGCTGTGTGGCCGGTGTTTTTCACGACAGGCCCCGCTGTGTTCTTCCAAGCGTCTGATTGAAGCTCACTGGGTGGTGATAACACCTCAAGGCTCGTGTCCTTCTCCGCTTGCCACGTGGCATCCAGGACACTGTTAGATAAAACAGTGCCTTTGTTCGGGGCACAGTATACCTCTGAGGTATGGTGTGAACCAGGTCCATTAACAAGTGCTCCTAAAGGCAATGAATTGCCTGCATGGGGAACAGCAGGGACACTACTGTATACAAATGGATTCGGCTGGGTTCCATTTAAAGGGTTTTTCGTGTTCGTCTGAGGACAGGACTGCCGCATTGTTTTTCAGGGAGAATGTGTGACTCTGTAATGACTTCTGTGTTCGACCTGGGCTGTCAGACAGACTCCACGTCTTTGTCCTCTTGTACATTTGACTTTAGATCAAGCACAAGCACTGACTCTCTGAAACATAATAACAATAAAAGGGCCAAACATTATTTGAAGAAAATTCCCATTGCCAGCCACCTTAGACCAAAATTATCTAATGTTGTGAAAGAACACAGGTACAGATATATTGGTCAAATCACATGATCTCATGTGATATTTCAAGGTGTCAAACTCAAACTAATTGTTGTTAATGGACTCTCAGCTACATCAACACTAAAAAAAATTAGTGTTGGCTAATGTCTATTAGCTATGGTTGACATCTTGAAAGGTGATCTCCACTCAGGATATTTTTAGAACACTGGTCATGTGACTACATCCATTAGACATATTGGTTTCAATCCCAGTGTGAGGTTTAGCTGTGTTTAAACTTAAAGAGATTTGAGAAAACGGTATCAAATTCAGCAAGCCATCAAAGGCTGCGTCACACGGCAAGATTTTAAAATGGTCGGCCGATTTTCAAAGACTGATAAAACGCATGAAGATAAAAAACATGGATATACAAGTTTGGTCCTATCATGTGTGCTGTACAGCTACACGACAAGAAACAAGGAAAAAATCTCTGGTGACCTCCAGAGAGACGTGAGTCCAGAGAAAATAAATATTTGGGATGAGGAAAAAACAATACTGATCGATTGTGTACTATTTTTACCAGAGGAAAAACAATTAAAATTTACTTTTAACATCCAGAAGACTTTCTGGCAAGTCAGGACAGTTTTTTGTCTTCTGTATTTTGGAATCCCCTTCGTGTTTACGTCACCTCGCTTTCTGACTGGCTACACATCTCATTCAACAGGTTGTGAGCTCGTTTGTTCTCCAGTGAACACCACACAGGCTGTGATGTTGAACGAAAAAATCAAACATGTTGAATATCCCTGATTTGAGGTTGGAGCGGTCCCACGGCGGGAATATCTGCTCATATTATCTTTAGAGCCATCACGATAATCTGTACTTCCTTAACATTGTCGGAAGGGAAAAACTGGGCCAGAATTTGGCATAATTATCCTGCCGTGTGATGCAGCCTTAAGTTATAAAACATCGGTAGACACACCAACCTTTTTAACAATTCCACTCACTTTCCAAGTTTGTTGAAAACCTCGACCCTCCAGTCAACCTTTCAAATAAACTTTCCTGTGATTCCTGTACCAGGGAATCATCAGCGGCATGACGGCTCAGTGCAAGAAGGTCCTGGGTTCGATCCCCGGTTCGGACCTGGGGTCTTTCTGTGTGGAGTATGCATGTTCTCCTCATTCTTGTGTGGGTTTTCTCCGGGTACTCCGGTTTTCCCCACCCCTAAAAACATGTACATTATACAGGTGCTGGTCATAAAATTAGAATATCATGAAAAAGTAGATTTATTTCAGTAATTCCATTTAAAAAGTGAAACTTGTATATTATATTCAT